TGCTTTTTATTTGTTTATTTTAAAACAAATTAAGGGACAAGAGAGTTATCCTCACCTCATAACTATTTCTCATACTATGTTTATAAATATTATTGTTCAACAAAAAATATTTAGCCCTCCTATGCCTAAAATATACAATGTGTTATTGGTATGTGCTATCTATCAGTGGAAATGATTACTTCCCCAAATAGGCATGGTGGAGGAGATAGAACAAAGTCCCACTAGGTAGAGTATTTAGCCAGTGGATAAAGCCATATAAAATCACAAGTGCTGGGCAACACAAGGACTATCCCGTAAATACCTTCCAACTTTTCACAGATAAGTGAATGACTTAAATATTAAAATATTGGCTGCAGTGAAATTTGGCCATCCATAAGGGAGGGTTTACCAAGCCACCATGCAAGAGGCAAACCTAAGCAACAAATACTATAGTGCAGTAATTCCTCCAGGTAAGGACAATTTAAAAAAAATACAATTATACATTACTCTTAGTAGCCAATATTTCAGTGACACTATACTACAATCCTGAGACAAGTTAATGATACGATCTAAAAAGCAGCTTAGTTTTAACAAAGCAAATCCCTCAAATATATACTTTAAGGGTTAATTTTCCAGATCATACTGTAAATCCGGCAGTCTTCATAGATAGCAAAGATTGCACAATGTTTTTTAAAAAATCTAGTGAACACTGAATTGCCAGTCAACAAGAATGTTGTTCTGATAGATAGCAATAATAATTGCATTTGATATAGCACTTTTCACATCTTCTCGGCATCTCAAAGCACTACACAGAATATACTGTAAAGTGAATTGACCTTATGGGTGAAACTCGGCAGCTAATTGCACACAGCAGTGTCCCACAAACAGTCGTGGATTGAGTAATCAAATTATTATTGATTTTTTTCTTATTGGATTATTATCAGGCATGTGGATTATTACAGATTACAGGTTGTGTAGTGTATGTTGTTGCATTGGGTAGGTTCCATACTTTATTGGCAAAGAGCTGCATTCAAATGCATTCCAGAACATCCGTATTGTATTATAATTTAGGTCACAATCATGTTCCAATGATTTTACATTCTTGAACTGAAACACAAAAATGTAATTAGCCAAAGAAAAATAGTACTCAAGACCGTCTTCAAGTTGATACTGGTAGAAAATGAAAAACTGCAAGCTAAGCGAAATACTGTATGCTAAAATATTCACTGATACTAAAAGTAAAACTAATTTGTAGATGCATTAAAAGTAAACTACCCATTCAAGGTTACAAATGACCTGAGAAATGCAGTGATGACTTCAACCTTTAAATTAATTTAGAAAAAAAAATCACAAAATAGTTTGCCTTCACAGCTCTCAAATCCATCAATGTTTGTTATTTGCATATGGTTATCTAACAAAAACAATATTTCTAGCTTTTACATTCAGCCTACAATGAGTCAACACACAAAAAGTGGAAATGCTTTCAACTGTATGCTTCTCACAATAAATGCCAACAGAAAAACAATCAGTTCATCAGATGCAATCAGGCAGTGCTAGAAAGGAGACTGACTTGTGGCTGAATTTATTCAAAAATCCCACTTCTCTGACGAATCAGTGGGTGAAATGTTCCACGCGGCATGGCACTGAGAATGATAAGCGAAGGAGGTCCCTGTTCCATCTCAGCTTTATAAGGTGATCTCAGTTGAAGTGGTACGACTGGTCTCAGTATTTCTGGGGGTGGGGGAAGGAACAACAACGACAGCAAATTCCATTTATATAGCACCCTTCATGTCGGGAAGATGGACCAAGGCGTTGGTTGATCGGCTCACAAAGCCTAATGCTGGAGAGAACAGGAGCTGCAGAGCTCTGAATAATCTGCAGCTTGCGGGGAAGAGTTGGGAGGTCCAGGAGCAGGGAGTTAGCATAGTCAAGCCTAAACTTATTGAAAGTATGGATGAGGGTTTCAGGAGCCTAAGGGGAGAGATAATGGTGGAGGCGGGGAATTTTGTGGAGGTGCAGGGTGGCAGAATGATATCCCTGAACGGAAGCATGTAAATAGTAAAGAGGTGAGGACCTGGGGCACAGAGCTCTGGCCTTGTTCCTCTCACTTTTAATATGCTTCCGAAATTTGTTATTGTTATCCTCGGCAAATGGCACCAGCTTCACCGGGGGGAGTGGGGCGACACACAATACCAGAGGTATCCACTGCTGATTATTATCCAGTTAAATGCTGGAAGTTCCAAGTGTTTGGAAATTTAGAGTTGAGGAATGGGCTCACTTGTGAAGCCCCCAATATTAGATTAATCATCTGAAATTAACTGGTCATATTGCTGTGGGAAGAGAGAAAATGACAAAAACATTCTTCCCTAATGCTGAAAACAACCCTCACCCTTCCTTGAGCAGTCAGTACTGAATTGCAGATTTTTTTACATGGTGTTCATTGACACTTTAATATTACAACTGACAGGAAGTCCCACTTAGTCACAACAGTTTTTATCATCCTTCACTCCCAAGTGACACATTTAAAAAACAAAATAGTCCACCACCCCAAATTAAAACTACTCAAATTGATGCAGTGAGACACGCGTTTCAATAACAATCCTACCTGGGATCTCAAAATCACTCCATGTAAATGGGGTGGTAGCACCCTATACACAATAGGTTTATTTACTCGCAGAAAGCAAATTTTATGTTTGTCGCAGATTAACAGCAATGCTTTATCTTAGCTATTGTGCTGAGAAGTGTATTTTTACGTTCATAGCAGAGAGTGGGAAGACAGTTCGATCCCTCACTCTGCTTAATTGCCCGTGAACAGGAACATACAAAATAAATAAACAAGTCTGAGGTGTCCCTCAGGAGAAAGATACTGATTGCCAATGGGCATGTCATAGCTTAGGCTGAAAATAATTTTGTCCTCACAGGCTACTGTCACAAAATCATTAAAGAAGTTTGAATGCAGAAGGTTTCTTGGCCCATTTTGTCTTCTTCCCGGATAACAACCGTACCATCATTGTATTACAGAATCAGACTATATTCACGTCCTCCCGATGTAAAAGGCACTAACAAATGTAATCTTGTTGTTGTTGTATATTAAATGAGTCCAGCGTCCTGCTCTCAGCCATCCTTCATGGTAACCTATTCCAGCTGTTGAATACAACTGTTTAAAGAAATAATCTCCAGTGTCTATCCTAAACTTGCCGTTCAAAACCCTGAACACCACTTATTTTCCGATTGGCTTGGATTACCGGAAAATATTTTCTGTTTTTTTTCCTATCCCAGTTAGCATCTTTTATACCCTCTATAAGGTTTTCTTTTGAGACACAACTTTTCAAGGGTGAAGAACTCTTCATCTTACCTAGTCATTCATCATAGTTCATTTCTTATCTCTCTAACAGTGGGGAGCAGGAAGGCCCATGAACTATGCTTGTCAACCAAGGCCATTGACCATAGCGGTCTCGGAATGGGGCTGAAGCAGCAAGAATTTATAAGGATCTATGAATGGAGGAGAGCATAGACACTTCATCACGAGGTAAATAATTAAATGATTACGTACCACAGAAAGATTAAAAATGGTCATGGTATTTTGCCATTTTCACATCATGTAACATAATCCTCAAAAAAAGCATAACGTCTACTTTTCCTACACTGCGTTACATTGCCAATAAGGTTCAGTTAGCTGGAGTCCACTGCAACAATTATTGGAGCTTAACAATCAAATGTGTTGATCAACAAAACTAGTGGTTATTGAAAGTGCAGACAGACTTGAGAGAATTTGTACCGGATTACCAAGGGACACGCCACAGCGTTAGGGCTGAGAATAATTCTGTTCACCTGAATTTTCCAAAACCACACACGACTGGAAACTGACCCAACTGATAAACAAGATCGTGGATTAGCCCCGAATGAGGAGTTTACCGCTTAGTGTGGGATAACCAACGGGGAGAATAATTAAATGATGTGGTATTGTTGGAACGGGAGGGAATTAAACAGCAGTGGCACTAATAATAATAATAATAATAATAATAATCCTTGCATTTGATACAGCGCTTTGCACGTCTTCCAGACGTCTCAAAGCGCTTCACGGAACAGACGGCAGTGACTGTGTAACTGATAGTATGGCATCCAATAATCTTAACCTTTGGTCATTTAAACGTTTGAAGATGAACGAGGCTTGTGAACCTGCGGTGAGGAAAAACCCAGGATAACATGACGGGGGGCGTGTGGGGGTGGGGGGGGGGGGGGGATTTCATCACCGCAACAACAAACCGTCCTCGGCGAGTGTCACCGGCTCAACACCGACAAATCGCTCATTCGGGGTTATTATTTTTTTAACCACAAAAAAAAAGCAGCTGTACACGTCGACCTTGAACACGAAGCACAGTTGGCGGAGTCGAAAACAGCTTCGCGAACCGCGTCACTTTCACACTGATCGCAAATGTCAACTCCTTGACGATTCCCCCCCACCCCCCACCCCACACCCCCCCAAACGTTGACAAGTCTCTGAATAACCGCGACAGGAGCCGAGGGCGTGTGGGTGCGAGTGAGTGAGTGAGTGAGAGTGAGCGTGTGTGAGTGAGTGAGAGTGAGAGTGTGAGTGAGTGAGAGTGAGCGAGTGTGAGTGTGAGTGAGTGAGAGTGTGTGTTGGTGCGCGATGCTGTTAGCGTTCAGGGCCCTAATGCTACTAAACAGCCACAACGACGAGTTCCGCGGACCATCGGCGGGGGCACAGCTCTGACACTGCCTCATCTTTCATTCAGGGTTGCGGCGAAATAAAAATAAAAATCCTTTTGCACTTCCCGGGTCTCCTGCTTTAAACCCGCAGCCCCCCCCACCCCCCCCTCCCTCCCTATCTCTCTCCCTCTCTCCTTCCTTCCTCTTTTCGCAGGAGGAACGGATCTCCCTCCCCTTGTTCTGGCCCTGACTTGCGGCGCTAACCCGCCCGAGCAGTCACCAACACGCAGAGACGGGGCTACCGCCGCCGCTGCCGCTGCCGCCGCCGCCGCTGCTGCTGCGGTCGGTACCTGTGTCGGTGCCGATGCTCCTCCCCGCCTCCATGCACCATGACTCCGCCGCCGCCGCCTCCTCCTTGTGGCCCGGCGCTGCCGTCTCGTCCCGCCGGCCTCGCCGCCTGGTCGACGTGCGGGATCAGCACGTCGTGCAGCCCCAGCGGGTCGAAGCGCTTGTGCTTGGACGAGTCGGGCAGGAAGAAGATGGCCCCGAAGCACAGGGTGATGAAGGCGCTGAGGATGAGCAGGAGGATAAATTTCTCCGACAGCCGCAGGGTGGCTCTGTGATGCGGGTAAAAGGAGGCGGACGAGCTCGGGCTCAGAGCCGCGAGCCGACGGCTGGACACGGGTAGGAGCGCCGGGCTCGACATCCTCATCGATAAGCCCCCAACCGCGCCTCCTCGCGAGCCGGCAAGGGAGGTCCGCCCGGCCCCCGGCAGCCGCGGGAAACCTCAGGGTCGCCGCCGGGACTCCCGCATCCTCCCGCTCGCTCTCTCGCTCGATCGTTGGCTCACTCGCTCGCTCGCTCGAGCCGCCACCAACCGCCGTCGGGGGCTCGCGGAGCTCAGGTGTGGGACCAGTGCGCGTGCGCCGTGAAGCCTCCGCGGTGGGAGTCGGGCGGCGCGGCGGTGATGGTGGTGTGGGGTGGGGGGGGGGGGGGGGAGAGAAGGGGGGAGGGGCGAGGGGGTGGAGAGTGTGAAAAACGTTGGCTGACCCGGGTCCTGCCGTCTGCGCGTGCGTCGTGAGGCAGGCGCGAGGGGAGGGGTCGGGGGCGGGGGCGGGGTGAAGCCTGCTCGCTCCTTGCGGTCTGCGCCTGCGCCCCGGGAGAAACCGCAGCCGCTCGCTCCTCCCGCCGCGCGCGCGCGTGTGCCTCGCCGTCGCGTGGCGGCCCGGGAAGCTGAGCGCTGCTCTGCCCCCGTCACCCCCCCCACTCCACCCCTCCCTCCCCCCCCCCACCCCCCCCACCCCCCTTCAAAGAGCCCGTGCCGGCGCCATGCGGGTCCGAAGATGCCTCCTCGCCCAGGCGTTGCGATGGCAACCGCGTCAAAGTTGGCTCACTGGCTCCGGAGCGCTTTTGCGGGACGTGGGCCGCGTTTCCCGCGAAGCGCCTCTTGAGGCGAACGTCGTTTTGTTGTTGTTGTCGTCGTCGTCGTCGTCGTCTCAAAAGATGTGACGGGGTGGGGGGGGGTCGGTCCCCGGTGTCCAATGGTAAACGCTCAAGGAAATCCGAAGAGCGGGTTATCGGAATTATGATGTTTTGGAAAGTGTAGTGATGATGATAATAATAATAATAATAATAATAATAATAATAATCCTCGCACTATCGGGCGGTCGAGACGTCTCCAAAGCCGTCGACGGGGGCTGCTCCTGCCACGCCGTCTGCCTTGTTTGGTGGGCAGATCTCGTGGGAATGATAACAAGAGAAGGAAGAGGCGGCCGAGACTGCGCTACCTGCTGCTGCCGCCGCCGCTGTTCGGTACCAATTTTCGGATCTTTCTCCCGGAAAGTGGGTAAAGATGGAAGATACCCTGTGCTTCGTGGGGAATGACACCTTTAACTGACTTGTGGCGTAAGCCGCAAGTAATTTGCTTTCCGCAAATCCGCATCCCCTCTTGTATATATATTTATACAATGGATGTCCGTGATGAAAATTCCTTTTGTAGGTGGTACGTTAATGTGTCTCGGTTTGTTAAAGGCGTTGGGGAAAGGACGCAAGAATGGGCTTCAGAAAGCAGAATAATGGTTCTGCGAAGGTCAAGAGAAGACATCGAGTGTATAGATTGGAAGACATGAGAGGCATCAGTCCCGATTGTTGATTTTTATCAGTACGTCAGGGTCATGAGGAGCACCACCTTCTGCCTGGATACTGGCCTGAAGGACTGCATGGCAATCTGATCATACTCATCTCTTCAATGACAGCAAAGTCCCAATGCAGGTCAAGCTTGCAGCATACAAGACCTGTATGCAAACAGTCCTCCTTTATGGATCTAACATCGTCTAAAGACAACACATGTAAAATTCAATGGAATTTTTAACCATAAAAATTGAATAGCCTCCTTTAGTCCTGTTAATGTTTCTACTATCATTTATAAATATACTCAACATTTAATATAAGTTGATAGGTATTGTCAATTCACATTTCATGTGTCTGAAGTTAGTTTATTTGTTTTGCATATGTCATTACAAACAAACACTTTACTAACCCAATGAGAATCTTTGATAGTTACTTCCAAACATGGATCCAACTTTGAATGGTTGGAAGGATGTGATAGTTCCCCAGGGGTTTCTGCATGATGTTCTGCACTTCAGTATGCCTGAAAGTTATTATTTAGATTTAATTGTGCTTCACTGGTCAGTTTCAATAAAGACAAGTGCATTTGCTCCCTAAAGAAGTCTCTCACAATATCAACATTTTCCTCACCTTCCTTTTGATCTAGAACCTCCTATCTGCCAAATACATAAATGTATTTTGTTTTATATATTTGAAAAGCAATTAAGGTGTCTATCAGGTCTTGGAAAATTACTTTGGGACATTAGGCAAAGTAAAAAAGTTACTGATTTATAATAATCACTTCCCAAAAGATTGCAACTCTCTAAATTATCAGTTTATTAAGGAATGGAGAAACCAGTTGTCATATATCATGTTTAACAAAATGTCGAGTGTGTAATGCCTTGGTCAGGTTGCACCTAGAATACAACACACAGTTCCGGTTATTGTGATATAAGACAATCCAAACATATGCCTTACAAGTAGGAAGTAGAAGAGGAACAGAGTTGTTTGTTAGTGTCAGAGGAATAAGCTATATGGAATGATTCAATCAAATAAAATTAAATGATTCAACTGAATTAAAGCTTGGGGTCTTTTGGCTTTAAAAAGAGCTGTATTAGATGGGTGTCATAGAAGTCCATAAGGAGAAATTGAACACAAAACAGCACTCGATTATAGTACCAGGATCTAAGTTTAGGGCTGTGAAGAGCAATTTTTGGAAAGATACCAGGAAGGTTTTTTTCCAAAGAGGGTAATCAATAGCTGTAATGAGCTGCCAAGGAGGGCGGTAGAGGTCAGGATGCTTGTCACGTTTAAGAAATGCTGAAATGGGTAGCAGTAGGTTTAGTTTACCAAAAGAGTGAAATCAGATAACTTGTAACTTCTCATGCAAGTCTTCCTCATAGCCTTGCTGAGTGAGATTGACAATTTAATGCCATTTTTTTGTTGAATTGGAAACTAAATGGTGAATAAAAAGGACAGAATGCTAACCCACAGTACCACCCAAACCACTCTCTCCTCCAGACTGCTCACCATTTTAAATTGGAGAATTTATGTTATCACAAGAGTAATGGCCATACAAAGTGTGAAGTTAAGTAGGTCAACCATGGTTGACAACTGTTACGGTTAATGCCTTGGATATTTTAGCACTTGTGTGAAGAAATACAATAAAGAATTGAACAGAAGGATAAAATGAGAATAATAAGCACTCATTTTGGGGAAACCCATGAGTTTCCACATGTGTCAGACTGACCAAAAGGAAATTGGTAGGCACATAAAATACAAGGATTTAAAATAAATGTCCTTCTAGTTATGTTCTTTCTCTCTCTGCTCGCAACGTGAGCATGGAGAGCAAGACAGAGCATAAGATTAGTGGAGAAGAAACTTACTGGAGCAGAGAAGGTGACAGCTAGTCAATAGGAGTCTGGAAGAAATTTTTTTCCCCAAAAAGAACAGGCTTTCTCAGTGAATAGAGCCCAGATGAAGGTCAGGAGCTGAATTCGCTTGATAATTCATTCAATTAAGAAGGAAGCCATGTTTCTGTGGGGGATGCACTGAACCGAGGGGAAAAAAATAAAGAAACCGCCATGTTACAGAAACAGCAGAGTTCTAAGAGCTGCAGGCTGTTCAGGCTCTATCTTTAGGTAATGACATGCATCCGAGAAGCTGAGCCAATTAGAGAGGTGCTCAGACATTTCCCCCTGGAACTTGTTTTATGAAATACATTGCAAACTGAATAATGTGCACAAACCAGAAAAACCTTGGCCATTTCTCTCTCATGGCCTGTTTTGTCAGCATGTCACTCAAAATCTACTGTGGACGGGGAACTAATTTATTTATACTAAATTTATATGACTTTAACTTCAGATTCAACTCCTCCCTCCTCCAAAAAGGTTAGGATTAGCTCAGTGGAATAATCTCGCTTCAAACAAAAAAATGCTGGTTGTGAGTAGAAAGCAATTTCACAGAGCACCAGGGAATATACTCCCATCTCCTGCTTCCAGGCAACATGTATAAATACCCTCCCCCCACACTTAGCTTCCATGGGTCCAGGTGTGTATTACAATTGGTAGCAGTGGTTAGTATAATGATCCTGCATTTTATGCTCACATTCCAGCCTGACAACACGTTACATTTATTAAGTTGTCAGTTTTCTGGCATGAAGCTTCACTGCAAGGTAGTTAGATGTCACAATGTAGAGTCACCCTTTTTCCCCCAGAGCTGAAAGGAATGTCATTCCACAGACAATTTTCTCCTGGGTCACCATTCAAACTCGTGAACAGCTGGACACCAGCATAAAATTAATTGAAAGGAAAATGGAGAAACCTTTTGGATACTCCTTTAAAGCTGCCAAAACCACATCAGCAAAGCCAATAACGCAAAATAAAGTTTCTTTAGATTTCCTTTCGGGTGATTAAAAAAAATGCACATACATATGCAAAACATGTTTAGAGCAATGTACAAGAATTTACCTCACTGTATACTCGTTGAACTCGTAATAAGAACAGGTGAACATTCTAATTTTTTTCGCTCTCCAGAATATCCGAATTTTTTTTCAATTCAAATTCAAATTGATCTGGAAAAATACTTCAAAATGTTTCCTCAATGCTTCATTCACACCGGCCAAGCAGGTGCTGTTGTAATTGGTACCAGTGATGGGATAAAGACACTACTTTTATGCTCACTACTGAGACAGAATGTCACAATATTTAGAAAGCTGTCACTTTTCTGGCATGCACTTGTTTTTAGTCTGCACCTTACCGTCCATTTGCTGAATTCAATAGATTCCATAGCATCCCAAAGAGAAAGGTGCTATATCAAAAGCAAGGAATATTATATACTTTGGTTGTCGCGTTTCACCAACAAAAATACACAGTCAATTCACTTTACAGTACATCCTGTGAAGCGCTTTGAGACATCTCATTGATGTAATAAGGTGCTATATCAAATGCAAGGATTATTATATTATTATACTCATTTTTATTGTTAAAGTCTTGGAGATGGCCACACACCCTCTCCCTTGCTCAGAGTCCAACCCCCATCCTGTAAAGCACTCCCAAGGCGTTACCCAGTTTGAAAGGTGCTATATAAAAACATGTGGAGAATACTTAGCTGTTACGGAATCAAGAAATGTTAAAATTGG